GTTCTCTGTTCTCTACTTCTGGAACTTTGAAATTCTCATGTTCTTTTCTTCTTTCTTACCCATTTCTTTTTGTTCTGCTTTCGAGGAAATTTTCTTAACTATCTTCTAAACTTTTTTTTTTAATTAAAAATAAATTTTTTTTAATTTGGCTATTAGGGCCAGCAGATGGCATGATGGTTAAGGGCACTGGACTCCCACATGGCTGACTGTGTGGTTGGAGTCCTGGACCTGGCAGCTTGCTTTCCCACATTCTCACTCTCTCTCTCTCTCTCCAGTCAAATAAAGTTAAATAAAATAAATCTTTTAAAAAGTTGGCTATTATACCTGCATTTTTGTGTGCTAGTGCTTATTTTGCCCATTTTTCTTTCTTTCTTTTAAACTATAGGACACTGAGCTGGCCAGAGAGACAAAGAGGGAAAGTGAGAAATCACTCCTCAGATAGGATGGCCATGCCATAATCCCTTCTCCTCCACTTTCCTCTCAGTGTTCTGGGCTCGTATACACGTGTGATGGGTGTGATTTTCGAACCACCAGGTCTGAGACTCCAACTGTGCAGCTGGCCATGTGGGATCCAGCTGCATTATCTTTTGTGCCACTTACTGGCCCAATTTTGTTCATTTTTCAAAGCACCTTTTTCTTTTTTTAATCGCAAGATCTTTTTTATTTTTCTGATAATATCTTTTTTATTCTCTGATAATATTTTTATGATTTTTTTTTATTCATTAGAGAGTACATGTGTTCTCTGGAGAGAGACCAGGGGGAGGGAAGAGAAAGAACTGCCCCCATGGGGGATGGCCATGCCACCATCCCCCCTCCTCCATTCTTCTTTCAGGACTTTGGAAACTCACCTGCATGCTCCCAGGACTCAAACTGCGTAGTCAGCCATGTGGGATCCAGCTGCCTTAACCACCACACCACCCTCTCTGAGAATATTAATTATAGGTTTTGTTATGTTTTGTTTTCTGCATTCATTCTGTTCCCTTTGGATTGCTGTTTTGTTTTGTTTTCTTTTTAATTTACCTGAGGGCATGTGTGCTTTCCAGAGAGAGAGAGAAAGGGACAGGGAGAAAGCTCCCTCGATGGAATCTGGTGCCTTCCCATGTGGGTCAGCCTGGCAGGGAGCCCTGCTTTACCACTGCACCACTATCAGCCCCCCCACCCCATTTTGTTTTTAATGGAAGAGTGATCAAATTAATGAATCTTGTGCCTTTTTTACCTAGGACATTTGCTGTATTTAGACATGATGTCTTCCTTCTTAGTTTCTGGCCTTCTTCCTCACCTACTCTAAGTTTTTCATTGTATCATATCTAGGAATTATTACCAGATCTGAGTTCGTCTAATCTATAGTTACATCTAGAACACGTACCTACAGAGTTTGTGTGATCGAGGGGACTGATTCTGCCACCAGACTGGAGGCCACAACTTAAGAGGCGGCCCTGCCTCAGTATAGATGTCAGATGGACTAAGCAGCAGCTGGGTCCCTGGAAGCCCTAGTAACTCAGAAGCCTGGAGTCTCTGAGGCCACAGGCTTCCCATTTTCTTTTCTTTTCTTTTTTTTTTTTTTTTCAGAATTAAAAAATGTTTAATGTAGTTCAAACAGTGTCTGGTTCATTTTAGCTCCTTCACCGCCAAACCCGGGTGCAGGAACTGCTTCAACTTCTCTGCCTTCTCTTTGTCCATGATGACCAAAGTGTAAAGGTATCTGTTGCATTGAACTTTAAATTTCACGTTATCTTTATTTTTCTTGATCTTGACAGATTTGGCGTCCTTCCGTCAGGTTGTTAGCAGAAAGTCTTTGATTTCCCCAATTTTCCGAGGCATGGCGGGGAGCACGGGGAAAGGGCGCCGACGGCACAGCCAGCAGCCAGAACCGAAGAGAACGGAAAAAAGCAGGCTTCCCATGTTCATAAGCAGAAGTTATACAAAGGAGCCCTCTACTGACCAAAGGGAGAACTGCAGTTGCACACTCCAGTTCCTCCTCGTTTAGCGAAATGACCAGCAGGGTTCTGAATACCTGCCAGACACAGCACACGTAACCTTGGACTTGTAATACCTACAAGGCAGGCTTCATCGCCTTACTTTACAGTCGAGGAAGAGGAGGCTCAAAGAAGTGAAGCGATTCCCTGAGTTCTCAGTATGAGAGGCATCGGTGAGATTCACCCAGATCTGTCTGAGGCCAAAGCCTTTCTCCATCCAGCAGTCAGTCCCCTGCTCCTCGGAGTGTGGTCTGAGGGTCCCTGGGAGCATTAGCAGTACACACCTACTGAGTCAGAACTGTAGTCTAAGGAGCTCCCTAGCTGTGTTGTGATCTGGCTGCACACAGATTTGAGAAGTACCCTGACTCCCAGGAGTTGCTGGGAAAACCCCAGTATGTGTCCATTTGAAGAAACTAAGTCTTCATATTTTTTTGGTAAACATTTCTTGAGGCCAGCAGGTGGCATGATGGTTAAGGCACTAACTCCCACATGGCTGACTGCAGTTCGAGTCCTGGACTAGGTGGCTTGAGACTCATACAAGGTACGTGTGTGATGTGTGTGTGTGTGTGTGTGCCTCAAATCCCAAGAGGAGAATGGAGAAGGATCACTGTGTGGCCAGTACCCCTGGAGATGAGGTGGGGGTTGATCTCTCACTTTCCCTCTCTCTATGTCTGTCTTTCTCTCTCTGGAGAGCATATGTGCTCTATGGCAAAAACCTAAAAAAAAGAAAAGAAAAACATTTCTTTTGTTTTACGCCTTAGGCTATAAAACACTTACGCAGGGGCTGGCAGGTGATGTGGTGATTAGGGTACTGAACTCTCATATGGTTGACTGTGGTTCAAGTTCTGGACCTGGAGGCTTACTTTCTCACTTTCTCTCTCTAGTCAAATTAAGAAACAATGACAAATAAGATTAAATAAATAATTCTTTAAAAAAAAAAAAAAAAGACTACTTCCGGGACCAGCAAATGGTGTAATGGTTACATCACTGGACTCACATGTAGTCGACTGCTGTTTGAGTCTTGGTCCTGGCCAGCTTAAAACTCACACTGGGCTCATGTGCGTGTGTTTCCAAAATCCCAAGAGGAAAATGGAGAAGGGATTGTGGGGGGGCCATCTTCCTTGGGGATGATTTCTCACTTTCTGTCTCTGTCTCTCTGGTGAGAGCACACACCCTATAGCAAAAAATTTCTCTCAAAAAAAACCCCAAAAAACCTGCTTCCGCTAATTTTCAAGTACTATCTACATTGGCTCTCTTTACCCTGTAAGGTAATTGTTTTTCCCATTTTAGAGAGGCAAACACAGGTGGAAACAAAGGTCTGGAGAGATGAAGCCACTTGCCCAGAGCCACTAGCCAGCAGGTACTTCACTGAGATTTAAGAGTTCCAGGATCTGACATTGGGCCAGGATGGAGGTTGTAGGCTCCTGGACTTGCCTTCTGCAGCCAGAATTCATCAGGCTGGCTCTGAGAGCGCTCTGCTCACCTGTTCATCCATGCATAGTGAGAGTGCTGTCTGGCTCTGATCCTATGACCCATGTGACTGTGGGTAAACTATTTAACCTCTCAGCCTTGGCTTTGGCATAGAGTCAGTGTGAGGCTGATGCAAGCAATGTGCTGGCACAGTGTAAGAACTCAACAAACGTTGCTATTCAGTCATTCTTTCAACAGCAATTGAGCCCTTGTATGCTGTGCCCCAGGCACTGGGCTGACTTGCCTGGAGAAGGCAGGCATGGTCCTGCTCCCATGGAGCTTACAGACTGATGGGGCAGACATGGAGTGCTTACAAGTGTGTGGGGGCATTAAGATGGGGGTGACTTGGGCCAACCCCATAGCCTAGTAGGGGTAGGGTGGCTAAGCACAGTTTGAATTCTCAGTGAACTGTGGCCCCAAGCCACAAGTCCTACTGGCCCACCCCTTCAAAAGTGTTTCCTTCTTGTTAGAGTGATCCCTTTTCCCACTAAGTTTTGAGCCTCATTTTAGTATGACTGAAGTAGAGAGGGAAGGAGGGGGGTATGGTGGGAAACAGACTAGACTGGCAAGGAGGAGCAATCGAAAACCCTAGGGGGACCAGCAGATGGAGTGATGGTTACATCACTAGACTCCCACGTAGTTGACTGCTCTGGACCCAGTGGCTTAAAACTCATGCCGGGTGCGTGTGTGGTTAAACCTGAGAGAATGGGGGATTGTAGCGTGGCCATCCCCCCAGGGAGTAATTTCTCCCTTTCTATCTCTTCAGTAAGCACACATGTCCTATAGCAAAAAATCTTCTCTAAAAAAAAAAAATAATAAAAACCTGCTTAGAACTCTCTGGTCCTACCTCTGTGGCTCTCCCATACCCAGGTGGCACTCAGGCCACTTTCAATTCCTGCAGCCAAGCTCATCCCACCTTAGGGCCTTTGCATATGCAGTCTGTATTTCTCGCCACCTCTTTTAACTTAGTTAATTCCTACTTATCATTTAGCGGTCAGTGCAAATGTCAGTTTCTCCAGGAAGCCTCCCCTGACTTCCTAGACAAGTTCCAAGACCCTCAATTTAACACTGCATTTTCCCTCCTGGTACTGATCTATTTGCCGCATATGACTCCTTGTTTAGCACCAGTCTTGCCAACTAGACTGAGCTGAGCTGGAGTCTTGTTTTGCTGACTGTTGAGGTGACTGGGTTTATAACCAGGTCAGCCAAGGCCTCTGAAAATACAGGAGGGTAGACGCTCCGGAGTTTAAAAATCATTGTCACATCTGAGGCTGGGGAGGGATAAGTGGCCAGTCTGAGGCCATAGAGGGGCAGGAAGACAAAACGAGGCTCGGGTTAAAGCAGAGGTAGGAGGATGGAGACAGACGCATTTATGAGTTGGTAGGGAAGGACTGACAGGTGAGGGGCAAAAATGGAGATACTCAGAGCACTTGCAAGTTCTTGCTAGGGATGGGTGATAGATGGTGAGGTGCCATCTGAACCTCCCAGCCCTGCCCTCCTTCCTCCTATCAGTATCAGGACTCTGTCGCCGGCACCAGACACAGGAGAAACAGCTCAGCAGCCCAAGTCCCTTTTATTCACCACCTCCTTTCTTCTCTGAGTGTGCACAAGAGAAAAGAAACAGTGAAATACCCTGACAGGGAGCTGGCTGGGGAGAAGGTGGGAGGCGGCTCCTGAGCTTAGGCCAAAAGGCTGGATTCCTCATCTTTTCATCAACTGGCCCTGCAATGACACCCTTCACACACCACCCTCGCTCCCATCCCTGAAATACAGCTCCAGAGGCTGCACTCTTAGCCTTGTCCAGGATGGGCTCCAGCAAGGCCCAGAGACTGCAGGAGGCCGAGGGGACACAGCTCAGGACAGATTGGGATGGGGACCAGGGGGATGTGAGAAGGCAGTTTGTCCAGTGAGTAGCCTCCAGTCAGTCTCTGCTTCTAGGTAGGACTGCCCAGAGGGGTGGGTTGCTGGGGGTTAGGGTCCTTCTCACCCCCAGTAGAGGTTTTGGACAGAAGAGACCAAGGAAATGCTTGATGCTCCAGGTGGAGAAGGATAGGCTTCCCATTGGTGCCTGGGATTGGCCAAAGTCTGGGGACTGTAGAAGGTCCAAGGTGGTCACATCAGGAATATGGAGGCAGAAAACTATGTCCCTCCTTACCCTGCCGGGGGCAACAATCTAGGTGCAACCTCAAGGTGACCAACAGGCAGCTGAAGCCAGGCCTGATGGACATGTGGAGCTGAGGGAGCTGATGAGGGAGTTTGGCAATCCCAACTCCACATATATGAGTGGGAGACTGAGCTACAGACAACTAAAGAAGGCATGAGGTGAAGGGTAGACAAGATCCAAATTAGAAGGAAACTTCCAGGTCAGCGTGACTGGTGCCTAAGTTGTACCACCGGTGACAACCCAGCTGCCTTTTTTTCTCTCTGGAGCATCACACCGGGGTTGGCTGGGGAGTGGGGAAGAGGAGTGGCAGGGAGAAGACAAGTAGTCACTGCAAAGGAAGACGTCAGAGAGGTTCACCCTGATCCTGGCCAGTCAGCCAGCCTCCATAGAGGGTCTGAGGTTCTCATTCTCTCCATCACCCACCTGCGAGCCTCTGTAAAGGGCTTCTCTGGGAGAAGAAAGCAGACTCCCCCCGCCCTCAACCTGTGGGGAAGCTAACGGAGAATACTCACAGCACCATGCACGGGACGGCCCTAGGCTCGGAGCCGGGCTGGCACCGTTTGTAAACATTACACTTGGTGATTATCTGGGGAAAGGAATGCTTAGCCTGGATCATCAGACTTGGAGAAAGAGAGAGGCTGGGGAGGCTAAAAGCTTGGAAGATGTCGATTAGCCATGGGAAAGAGGCTTCCAGGCTCACTGAGGGCCTGGGAGGGAATAAACAAGGTCTGATCAACCTGCCTCTGTGCATTAGTCTGACATCAATGCTACGTTCATAAAGTGCCAGATCTCAGAGGAAGCCACTGCTGGCTATGGGTGCTGATGATCTGGAGCAGGCACTGAGCCCTGGCGTAATCGGCACAACCCCCATACAGGACAAGGACTCCTTTCCCACAATCTTTCTTCGGAGAGAAGTTGGATGGGGCTCTTTCTTCTGAGAATGAGTCTTTATCCATGAGTTCCAGGCATGGACAAGTCCAGAGTTGGGGAGAGATAAAAGATTCCTTGGGGATGTGAGATCTCCTGCTACCATCCTGGCACTGTCAGGACTGGGGGGCAGAAGAGATCTGGAATTTGAGCTGTCCACAGGTGCCTGATTCTGTCCCAGAACTGTCTCTAGAAAAGGTTGTCCAGATGTCATTCCACCAGCTGGATTTAGGATGGCCACAGAACTCTAGGACATGGGCTCCTAGACCTAATGGGAAAGGCCATGTGTCCCCTGGGAGGCAGTGTTTACGCCAAGAGATCCACAAAGATGGCGTTGGCTGTGGTCTGGCCGAAGATGAAGGCTCCCAGGGTGACCAAGAGGACTCCGTAACTGACCAGCGCCCACCAGCTGTAGGGCAGAGGGTGAGAGGGGCCTGATTAGTCATCTCATCCTGTGACTCTGCAGACTTCATATATACAATGGTTAACTACTGTCATCTTATCACTTCTCCTGTGCATACAGCACTTCAGACTTCCCAAAGACTTTCCCATTTGAAGCTATGTGGGATCACATGCAGGTGTTTTATCCCTAGTTCACAATTAAGGAACTGGGACCTAAAGAGATTAGCCGATCACAGTGAGCCAAGAGCAGGATGAAGATTAGGATGCAGGTCTACTGATGGAAAGATGTTTAAAAAAGGTCAGGTCCTACAGAATGTGATCCACTTCATTAAAAGAAATGGTGGGGCCAGCAAGTGGCATGGTGGTTAAAGGCGCTGAACTCCCACATGGCCGACCACGGTTCAAGTCTCGGACCTGGTGGCTTGCTTTCTCACTTCCTCGTTCTGTCTCTCTCTGATCAAATTGGAAAATAACAATGATAATAATAATAAATAAAATTTTTTTAAAAAAGAAAAGAAATGGGAGAAATGGGCTAGAAGGTGGCACAGTAGTTAAGGCATTGGACTCCCACATGACCAATTGCAGTTCGAGTCCCAGACCTGGTGGCTTGCTTTTTCACTTTCCTCTCTCTGTCTCTCTATGGTGAGTGCATGTGTCTTATAGCAAGTTAAAAATAAATAAATAAATAAAAATGAAGACTTCTTTAAAACAAACAAAAAAAAAGAAAGACATCTGAACATACATGTATCAAAAACAGTGGGCCAGCAGGTGGCGTGGTGGTTAAGGCATGGTCTCCCACGTGGCTGTGGCTGACTGCTGTTTAAGTTCCGGACCTGGCATCTTGCTTTTTCACTCTCTTTTTTTCATATAGGATTACATTTTAACGCTATACCACCATTGGCCCTTCCTCGCAATACTAAGGCCTCTCCAAGCCTACCCCCACCCTCCACTTCCCATAGAGGGCCAAGGGCTGGGCCCTGGTTTACCTGGCTGGTTTGACTTCCTCCATCTCAGAGAGTTTGGCTTGAATGAGGCATAGCCCTGAAAGAAAAGAGGTGACCCTGAAAGTCTGTAGGGGAGAGAGCTCCTTCCCTCAAGCTCACCATCCCCCCTTACCAAGAGGTAGTGGTGGTGGATGGAGAAAAGGCCCTTTTGCTCTGCCAGATTTTCCACCTCTGCCCTCTACTCCACATTCAGCTGGAGGCCTGGCATGTCCTCTTCCAGGACAGGCCAGCATCTGATGAGCCCCTTGGGCTGCAGGAAAGACTCAGAGCTCAAGGATCAGCACTGAAGAACGACTCAGTGCCAGCCCACACCCCAGGGCCCTTTCCAACACATTTGTGAGATGTGGCTCCCTTGCTCCTAGCAAAGTGGCACAGACTTTCAAGGTGGCTTCCTGGATACAAGTGCGGTCTGGGTGGCACTAAGGACAGGCTTGGTAGACAGGGCGGTTTCCCTGGAACCTGGCAGCTGACCTGTGTCTAGGACGTGGGTGTCCCGTTGTCCACATCAGGATGCCATCAATAGACCCTCACTGCCCTCTGGACTGTAAGGGGCTGAACAGCCAGAGATGCCAGATAGTTGGGGAGCAACAGATACCTAAATGAAGGGTTAGACTCTGGATCCAGACAGATTTGGGCTTGAAAAGGCTTGTTATTCATCAGTGAGTCTGTTAACTTCTAGGGACACTTGTATCCCTCTCTGAGCCCACATCTCATTAGTGAGATGGAGATCCTGGGCCAGCTGCAGTGGCGCAGCACTAATGCAAAGCCCTGGGATGCTGAAGTGACACAGGAAGGTCGCAGGTGTGTGTACTGAGGTCTCAATGTACAGGTGCCTCAGACTGTGGCTAGCTTAGGCTGGGGATAGACTGTGGCGTAAAGACTGTTGGGGGTGTTGGTCTCTCTCGGAAGAAATAAACTGTTTTTTTTAAGAGAGGTTTTTGCTATAGGGTGTATAGCAAAAGACGGAGAGAAAGTAAGAAATCACCCCCCTCCCGGGGGTGGGGGGTGGATAGCCACCTGGCAATCCCTTCTCCTCCATTCTCCTCTCAGGATCTTGGGTACAAGCACACGTACCCAATGTGAGTTTAAGCTGCTGAGTCTGAGACTTGAACTATAGTTGACCACCGAGAAACAAACTTTTTTTTTTTAATTATTTTATTTAACCTTATTTATTTACTTGTTTTTAAATTTGACCAGAGAGGGACAGAGAGAGAAAGTGAAAGAGAGAAAGCAAGCTGCCAGGTCTAGGACTTGAACCATGATCAGCCATGTGGGAGTCCAGCCCAGCCCCCCTAATCACCATGCCACCTGCCAGCCTCAACTTTTTAAAAAATTATTTTTTTAAGAGATTTTTTTTTGCTATAGGGCGTGTACATGTGCCAGAGAGTCAGAGGTGGACAGAAAGCAAGAAATCACCTGTCAGAGGGGATGGCCATGCTGCAATCCCTTATCTTCCATTCTCCTCTCAGGATTTTGGGCATGCCTCACCTGTGACTATGTGAATTTTAAGTCACTGGGTACAGGACTCAAACTATGGTAGAATATGTGGGAGTTCAGTGACATAACCACTACACCATCTACTGGTCCCAACTTTTTTATTTTTAAAAATTTGTGGGGCTGGCAGGTGGTATGGTAGTTAAGGTGCTGGACTCCCACATGGCCAACTATGGTTCAAGTTGTGAACCTGGTGGCTTGCTTTTTCACTTTTTCTCTTTCTCTCTGGTGAATGCACATACCTTGTAGTCAAAAAAATAAATAAATAAATTCTTTTTTGAAAACAAAAAGTTTTGCTGGGGCCAGCAGGTGGCATGGTAGTTAAGGCACTGAACTCTTACAGGGCTGATGATGGTTTGAGTCCTGGACCTGGTGGCTTGCTTTCTCACTTTCCCTCTCTGGTGAGTGCACATGCCCTATAGCAAATAAATAAATAAATAAATAAATAAATAAATAATAAATAAAATTAGGGATCAGAAAATGGCATAATGGTTCTATTACTGGACTCCCACATAGACGACCATGGTTTGAGTCTTGGACCTGGTGACTTAAACTCACGCTGGGTGCATGTGCATGTATGCCCAAAATCCCAAGAGGAGATTGAACCCACAGTTGGCCCTGTGGGATACAGCTGCCTTAACCACCAGGGCCAGCCCCATAGTACAGTGGTTAAAAACATGAGACTCACAGGGCCACTGTATTAAGTAAGACCTTAAGGAAAAAAAAAAATCTGGAAGGACCAGCAGATGGTGTAATGGTTACATGACTGGATTTCTCACACTAAACCATGGTTTGAGTCCCAGACCCAGCGGTTTAAAACTTAACACCAGGCTTGTGTGCGTGTGTGCCTGAAGTCCAGAGAGGAGAATGAAGGAGAAGGGATTGTGGCGTGGCCATCCCCCCTGGGGGGTGATTTCTTGCCTTCTGTTTCCCTATCTGGCAAGCACATGTGCCCTATATAGCAAAACTCTCTGAAAAAAAATTGGGTATCGCAACATCTTTCCAGGAGGTAATACTTGGACAGAGGTTGGCACAGAGGTAGGTGTGTGAGCAGTAACTGTTGGTTGTTACTTTCCTTGGCCGGTTTTGAGCAAGTGGGGAACTGAGACCAGGGAGGCCCAGAGAGTCTGTGCTGTGGGCTGTGAGTGGGTCCGCGGGTCACACCTGGGAAGACGAAGATGAAGCAGGCAGCCAGGCCTCCGATGACAGAGATGACCTTGCCGATGTCAGGGATAAAAAGCGCCAGCAGCAGGGTGAGCAGGAACCAGACCAGCGTTTGTAGCACTCGCCGCCGCCGCTCCCGCCCCACGTCCTCCTCCACCTGCAGCCCTTGGTAGCGCAGCCACAGGCCTTCGACCACCGCCCTGTATCGTGGAGAGGGGTTCAGGGATGCTTCTGCCCTTCCTCCTGGAGCCAGACCTAACTGGGCAGACTGTGGGTAAGGCCCTAGTCCCTGAGCCTCAGTTTCCTCTTCTGTAAAATGGCCTAGCAGCACCCTGCCTGGTTGCCACAGGGACTGGATGATGCGAATGTGACTGGCTCGGCATCTTGCCCACCACATGCAAACTGATACTATTCCTCTCCTTAAAAAAAAGAAACCTAGGGTATCCATGTGGAAGATCCAGAAAGGACCTGGACTAGTGATTCTCAGAGACTCAGAATGTTCTGGTAACCATGGGACAAAGGTGGCCCTGACCCAGGACACTTGGGGGACTATCCTAGTCACTGACTCTTTTCTATGGGCTTCAGTTTCTTTCTATAGACTGGGTTCCACACAAGGCTAAAGGATCATGCTGAAAGGGCTTGCAGAGGCTCTGAGGGGCCTTGATGTGTGTGTGTGGGATATCGGGGTGAAGAGGGGGCTCACCGCCCACAGAAGTGTAGGATGGGGTAGGAGGTGAGCACGCTCAGGATGATGAAGGCTCGAGCAACAGCCACAGCCATGTCTTCTGAGGGGTAGGACAGGAGCACGTCGGGATCCACAGCTGCTCCAAAGGTCAGGAAGCCACAGATGCCTGTTGGCAGAGACCAAGGGGTAAAGTCAGGGTGTGGCAGAACCAAAGTGACTCTGTGTTGAAGCTAATTATCTTGACAGTTATCCCCAAACTCCCTGGCAATACTCCCAAGGGTGCACGTGCATGTGCCTGTGGGAATGATGTTGAGGCTGGGGTGGATTGGGTTGTAGTAAACGTGCCCCTTATCCTTGTCCACCAAGAAGCATGGACATGATCACAGTTAAGATATGGTACTGGCGGAGGAGTCTAGCAGGTTGTGTGCTAGTAGTAGTATTAGCAGGTTGCATGGTGACTGAGGCTCTGGACTCCCACATAGCCGACTGTGGTTTGAGTCCTGGACCTGGCAGTTTGCTTTCTTACTTTCTCTCTCTTTTTCTCTCTGGTGAATTAAAACAGAAATAAATAAATTAAATTAAATTAATTATTCTTTTTTTTTTTTTAAGAGAAGTTTTTGCTATAGGGTGCATGCACTCGCCAGAAAGACAGAAATGGAAAGTGAGAATCATCCCCCAGGAGGGATGGCCATGCCACAATCCCTTTTCTTCCAATTTCCTCCTGGGATTTTGGGTATGTGTGCACACGCGCCTGGCCTGAGTTTTAAGCCACTGGTTCTGCGCCTGTAACTGTCGTCAACTACATGGGAGTCCAGCGACATAACCATTATGTCATCTGCTGGTCTCTAAATAAATAATTCTTAAAAAAAAAAAAAAAAAGACATGGTACTAGGACCAGCCTATGGCAGGTGATTAAAGTGACTGGGTACCACATGGCCAACAGCGTGGTTCGCGTCCAGAGTTGGCAGCTTGAGAAACTCCCAACTTCCTAGTTGGAAGCTAGGTGCAGTGTGTATGCCGAAAGTCTTGAGAGAAGGTGCAATGGAGGAGAAGGATTATGGCTTGATCATGCCTCATGGTGTAGATGGGTACCTTCTCACTTTCCATTTCTGTCTCTGTTCCCTCCGGAAAGTGCATGCACTCTCTGGCCGGGGAAAAAAAAAAAAAAAAAAAGTATCGACACTCAACACTGCTCACTACATTCCTCAAATGCCTCTCTGTGTATATTTTCCTTTACAACTCCCTCCCACACAAGCTATGTAAACATATGCTTTGGGGTAAAAGGTATAGATATCTATACATTTTTATAGCCACCTAAGAGTTCATTTCTGTCAGTAAACTTTTTTTTCCTTAGGTTTTTGCCAAAGGGTGTTGTGCTCACTGCAGAGAGACAGAGAGAGGGAAAGTGAGAAATCACCCTACAATGCTACTTTTCCGATCCTGAACTTGCCCAGTATGTTCCTGTCTCAGAACCACTGCTCTAAGCATTTCATCTGTCCAGATTGCCCCACTGCATCTCACCATCAGCCTGTTCTGTTTCCTCTTCTCTTTAACATATATCTCTCTGACTTTTCTTTTTCACTTGTTTTATGGTCTGTCTCCTCAGCCAGAACACAAACCCTGGGACAATAGGCACTCTGCCTATTTGACTCTCTTGCTCCTAGCTGTGTCTTCCGAGGCTAGCATGGTGGTGGCCCAGGCAGCTCTTATGACCTTTCCATGGAAGGAATCACAAGGCCATTCTTTTTGGTCTCCCAGCCTTGCTCATCTACCACTCTCAACATAGCAGCTGGAGCCATCTTTCCCTGAACCATTCCTCTACTTGAAAAGCGTGGGTTCTGGCTCCCAACAGCCCTTGACCCCCATTTCCTGTCGGGCCTCACAGCCTTCCACCTGCCCCCAACATATTCCAATCCAGCTACAACAGACCTCCTTTCTTTCCCTGCTCAGGGGCTTCGCATTCTGTGGTTCCTGTGTTTGGAAAACTCCTAGTTCTTCATATTGTTGTTTATCATCATTTGGGTCTCCCCAGATACCATTTCCTTGAAGAGGAGCATTCTGTAAGGCACACCCCAAAGTCACCCTTACCTAGTACCAGTCACAGCTTCCCTGTTTCGCTGTCATCATGGGACTCACCACTGCTAGAATTCATGCAGATTCCTTATTTACACCTGCATGGCTGTCTCTCCAATGAGACTGTCAATCCCATGAGGGCAGGAGCAGGGCTATCTATCTCCATGGCATCCCCAAGCTGAGAACAGCTCCTGGAGCTACTAGGCACCAATTTAGAACTGATGAATTGAGACCAGCAGATGGTGTAATAGTTATGTCACTGGACTCCCACAGAGTCGACTGCTGTTCAAGTCCTGATGTGCAGCTTAAAACTCATGCTGGGCACATGTCTGTGTGTGTCCCAAATCCCAAGAGGTGAAAGAGAAGAAGGGACTATGTGTGGCCATCCCCCTGCAGGGTGATTTCTCACTTTCTCTCTCTTTGTCTCTCTGGCAAGCACACGTGCCCAATAAGAAAAATCTCTATAGGAAAAAATAAATAAATAAAAGGAACTGATGAATGAATGGAAACATGTTTTCAGGTAGTGGCCCCAGAAAGCCCAAGTTCAGACCTATAAACCACTGCCTACAGAACTGTCATGCTGAGAGTGCAAGGTGACCCCAAAAAAACTGGGCCAGAGGACTTGGGAACTTGAGGGGGAGTGGGCATGCCCCAAGCCCAGCCCATGGAAAGAGCACTCACCTGTGCCCATGTAGACAGCAAGGGCTATGACCATGGCTGCTGTCACCACCCCACCCCAGGTCTTCACTTCAGGCCGCTGCATGCTGTTAAAGACGGGCACACTGCTCACATGGCACTGTCAGGGTGAAGAGCACAGTTATGTGATGAAGTGACCTCATCCCCAGTTTCCAGAGGGAGGTACCATGGGGACTATGGCATTGGGCAGAACAGGCAAGTTCTGCAGTCCCCACTCCATCCTTCCTCCTAGGAATCCCTTCATCCTGTCTATAATGTGGCTTCTATCCCAGAATTAGGGGTGAGTTAGAGATGGTAGGGACCTTATAACTGGCACCTGAAATCCGAAGCAGATAGTAGGCATGGCATTGAACACGGCCACCCAGGAAGCCGGCCTGTGGACAAACACACAGAGCTGCAGTCTGCGAATCACTCAGAGCCAGCAGTCCTCCCACACCCTGACCCTTCATTCATCCCACCTTGGCCTCCAACCACCAGCATTATACACATTCAGCCCACTTAAGTCCAGATGGGGAAAAGACACATCTCTATTTCACAGATGTGTACTCTGAGCAGTTCAGAAAGGTTCTCCTAGACCAAAATTCAGAATCCCAGGCTCCTGAACTTGGGCTTTTGTTCCTTTCATAAACAGGGAACATGGGGTGAGCTGGTGATTTGCAGGTTAAGGTGACTGGATCCCACATGGCTGAATGCACAGTTTGAGTCCTGGACCCAGTGGCTTGAAAAACATGCTAGGGCCATTTTGAGCCACTCTTTCTCTGTCTGCTCAGGCCCGCTCCTACCTCTCAGGAGTGTACTTTCACTTTTACTTAAATTACCTTTTTCTCACAAAAAAAAAAAAAAAAAAGAGAGAGAGAGAGAGAGAGAGAGAGAGAAAAGCAGTGTGGCCATGCAAGGTGTGTGCATGTGTACCCAAACTCCCCAGAGAAGAATGGAGGAGAAGGGAATGCAGTGTGGCCATTGACTCTGGAGGATGATTTCTCACTTTGTCTCTCTGGTAAGGGCCTTCACTATAGAGCAAAAAACTAAAAAACAATGAAACAAACAAACAAACAAGGAAAGAAATAAAAAATGACAAAGCAGAGTCATCCTCATATAGAAGATACAGACATAACAGATAACTGCAGCTGGAAAAAACACACAGTTCCACCCTGGTAGTCTCCACAGTCTGAGGCTGACTCGCCCATGGCTCATCTGTTGAAGGTTATTGGCAAAGTAACCTTCCCTGTCTCTGGTTCTCATCCTTCCCTCCGCAATAAAAGATCAAGGGCCCAGGTGTGGTGGAGCAAGTCAGCGGGTGCTGCTGCACCGTGGCTGAGGCTGCATGAGAGGCTCAGATTTGGTTCCTGGCCCAATTTAAACAGACTGGCCATGGTGATGTGTACCTGTGGTCCTAGCTAACTGGAGGCTGGGGAAGAGATAGAGAAACAGAGAGACTGTGTCAAAAACCTGTCTTCTCTCTCCTTCCTGTAACCTTACTCTTACTACTTACTTATTATTTTACATTTATATTTTTAAATTTTTTAAGAATTATTATTTTATTTAATTTTATTTACTCATTCATTTAATTTGACCAGAGAGAGACACACATAAACAGAAAGAAAGGGAGAGAGAGAGAGAGAGAGAAAGAGAGAGAGAAGAAACTGAGAAAGCAAGCCACCAGGTCAGAGACTCAACTGTGGTTGACCATGTGGGAGTGTCCAGCACCTTAACCACCTCGCCACCTGCAGGTCCCTTATTTAAATTAAAAAAAATAATAATATTATTTAACTTTATTTGTTTGTTTGTTTTTAATTCAACCAGCAAGGGACGGGGCTGGGGTGGGGAGTGAGAAAGCAAGCCACCAGGTCCAGAACTCAAACCATGGTTGGCCATGTGTCCTCCACCACACCACCTGCCAGCCCCACTATTTATTTATTTTAAAAAAATAAGATAGAGATGAGAAGTTTTTGTCCCATTCCTACAGTATCAATGAATTGAGCTCTGATTGGGTAACAGCCCTGGGAAAAGCACCTGTGTAGACTTCTGATGCCCAACCCAGCACTAGGGCCTGCTTCATGGATTCTAACCCACTTGTCACCAGGGGCCCTCACCTACCTGGTCAGGATGTCCCCTGGAGTCATCTTTTTATCTGGCCAGATGTATTTGATGATAATGATGGCAGTGACGTACCAGGTGCCCAAAACGCTCAGGAAGCTGTCAGGAAGGAGAGATTTAAACTTCTCCCTCTCCAGGCCCAGCAGCCCCTTCTCTGATTCCATCCCTGGGGACATCTGCCCTGAGCACCAGGGACCACAAATATCCACGAAATGAACTGGGGGACTGTGCCAAGCAAGGACTTAGGAAATGCCTGAGAAGTAAGTGTCAGAAAAACCCGCCATAGCCAGAAGGGAGCGGGACAGCCAACAAAGAACCCGACTGGGATCTCTGGCTATTGGGAAATGTGCCAGTTCAGCTCCCCAGCTCAGAGACCGTGGCAGACAGCTGGGCTCCAAAGCACCTTTGCACCTTTAATCAGAGCAATCCAGACTCACTGAGGGCTGCGGGTGCACCAGCCATTCTCTGAGCCTGACTTTTAAGAACTGGGGGACCCTGTAGGTAAAAGGTTAAAAGTACAAATATTGGGAATGCCAACATCTAAACAGGTCTTAGAGACAGCTGAGTGTGACCCTCTCATTTACAGATTGGGAAACAGTCTAAAATCTCACAGCTTTTCAGACACTTCTCAGCTTATACCAAACTGCATGGAAGATGCTTCCAGGGTGATATCTCAAATGACTACAAATCCCATCCTCCTAGAATTAGCCAAAGCCAGGGCCAGTAGGGTGCCTCCACACTCTTGGCCATCATTAGTCTTCTTTGACAAGGGCAAATAGAACTGAATTTCCCAGGGATGCAAAGGGCCACTGTCTCCTTTGATGGTGGCAGAAAAGGACAGTCTTATGCCTGAAGTCCTGCAAGCCCTGGTCCTCTCTTGCTTCCTGGGGAGGTGAAGTGGCATGAAGGAGAGGGATTCCCGGTAGCCCTTGGGTCTCTGTCTGTCTGGCTCCGTCTGGGGAGGGGCCTCCAAACCTGGCATACTTCTGGAAGCCGATCTCCCTGGGGATGGAAAGGGGCAGGATGAAGAGGAAGGCAGTGAGGCTGATGGTGAACTTGCGGTCTGTATACCAGGGGCCGCTGCTGGTCCCCTCAGGCTCCTTTGCCATCACAGCTATAACTGCACAGGAAGGAAGGGGGGAATGTCATGCTGGGCCATCACAGGATGTGGCACTCCTGCTCTTCAAGGTCCTAGGACTCTCCTCTATCTAATGGGTGCAGAGACTTGGAGGGAAAATTCCCAGATGAATGCTGGGCCCAGGGAAGACCCTGGGCAGGCATTCAATGCCTTTGCCTTCCACCCCTGGGTCCCCAGGGCCGAGAAGGAGAGAGAAGGGAGATACTGAGGGGAAACCTCACTCTTGTCCTGCTGGTCCCCAATGATGATGAGGAAGGCGATGCAGGTGCCGAAGGTGTAGACGGCGATGGCCACCTCACACAGCACACCTGTCAGCTTGCCACACACGGCCCACACCACCTCCTGGTAGGTCCTCTCGTTGCTGGCCTGGGAGCAGTAGGCCAGGATGACAAGGCCGCTGATGATGAAAACCAGCATGCCCTGCAGGCAGGGGCAGAAGAAGAGGGTGTGGAAAAGGCCTGGCAGCAAAAGACACCCTGGATTTATTGGCCCAATGCCCAAGGTTAGGCAAATGGGTTTCATATTTCAGCGCAAATTTAAATAGACTACTAGAGGTTGCTGAGTTGGGCAATTTAAATAGACTACTAGAGGTTGCTGAGTTGAAATTTATAAAAAAAAAAGTTCAAATTTAGGACCAGCAAATGGCACAATGGTTATGTCACTGGACTCCCACAAGGCCAACAGCAGTTCGAGTCCTGGTGTGTTTGTGCATGCCCACAATCCCAAGAGGAGAATGGAGAAGATTGCTGTGTGGCCATCCCCCCTGGGGTGTTAATTTCTCTTTTTCTGTTTCTCTCTGTATCACTGGCAAGATCACACACCCTATAGCAAAAATCTCTCTCTAAAAAAAAGTCACATTTCGAACATATAAAAGTAGAGAAAATAGTATAATGTACCCACATGTATTCTTGTACTTATCACTTCACTTCAAAAATGGTCAATTCATGACTAATCTTATATCATTACTCCTTTTTCCACTCTAGTTCATTCTGAAGCCAATACAAGCTATCATTTCATCTCATCAGTAAATATTTCAGGATGCAGTTCTAAAAGATGAGGGCTCTCCTTTTAAAATATAACTACAAAATCCATTAACACCTAAAAAATTAAATATGTAGCTGATGTTCAAGTTTCTCTGACTATTTGGAAAACTTTGAAGCCTCACCTGGCTCAGAGAAAAGAATGCTGGAATAGATTAGTAATGTCTGCAATGTGTGAGGGAAGGAAGAGTGGTACAATTGTCGCCTACTGTCCATCCCAGATCCAGAGCCTCTCCTTTGAGGTAAAGAGCCTACTTGAATTGCATCTGCCCTCCCAATCCACACACTCACCATCTGCAGTGAGACACCAGCAGCTACACCCCCGGCCGTGCGGAAGGCTGCTGGGAAGTTGAGCAGCCCTGCACCCAGGCAGGCATTGACGACAATGAAGACGGCCCCAAGTGTGGAAGTAGTGCCTCTGTCTTGACCCCCAGTAGAGGCCTCCCCCTCACTCTTGGGGGCTGTGTCCACACAGGGACTCTGTAGCAGACGGGCCCGCTCCCCAGCATCTGCGCTGCAGTCCCACTCGTTGTACTCGCTGTTAATGCTGACCTGGGCCATGGCCCCAGAGCTCTCTTCCTGCAGAGTCTGCGTGTTCCGCCTCACGACCACATTCCTTGGAAAGCTGAGGCAACAAGGTGTGTTCTGGGCTATTATCTTAGGAGGACTCTTAACCTATATGGGACAAAGGCAGGTACTATTATTATTCTGATAGACAGGATAGGGATGGGAGAGCAGAGAAAAGTAAAACTTTCCCAAGATCATGTGGCTAAGGTTCAAATCCTGGTGTGTCTCTGCAGAATATTGCACTGGGTGTCACAGTGTGGGGTGACAGAGACAGAACTATGTCAGGTGCAGACCCTGGTTGTTTCAGTCTTACAGATCTTTTGGGTAAAGAAGCCAGAAACAGGGAACCAGCAGTTAGCGTAATGGCTATGTCGCTGGACTCCCACGTAGTCGACCGCGGGTCGTGTCCCGGACCCGGTGGCTTAAAACTCACGCCGGGCGCGTGTGCGTGCGTGCCCAAGATCCCGAGAGGAGAATGGAGGAGAAGGGATTGCGGCATGACCATCCCCCCTGGGGGGGGATTTCTCGCTTTCTGTCTCTAAGTCTCTCTCTGTCTGTCTGGCGAGCTCACGCGCCCTACAGTGAAAATCTCTCCAAAAAAAAAAAAAAGAAGCCAGAAACATAATAATATAAAAAAAAAATAAAAGCATGAACAAAAAGAAGCCATAAACATAAGAGAGGGGTATGAAACCATCAGCACTAAAAAGGGGCCATGCACTGAGGAGGTACATCAGGGCTATATCTTATCTCATTCAATCTGTCTGACAGCCTTGTGGCCCAAAGGTAGGTCGAATCACAGGCCCAGGGTCACATGCTAGCAAGTTGCAGCACAGAATTTAGATCCAGCTCTGTCTGGCTTCCCAGCTGGTTTCCCTACCAGAGTCCCAGAGAAGGCTTCATTGAGAACTGAGTGTTTCAGTGTATTACAGCCCAGCATACCTCCCTCTAGCCCAGAGACCAAATTCTTTGTTGCTTTCAAGGCCCTCCCAAATACAGGCCAATTCTCATCCTTCTCACAGGTCTCCCACATGACAAGGCCCTCATGCCTGTCACATTCAGGAAAATGATTATGTTTTTTCATTTACTTATTTTTCCATGTGCAAAAGAAACAGAGTCAGAGACAGCAACTCCAACAGGGTCTCAATGCCATGATCTATTCCTGGAGAGATCAGCCGGCCCTGGATCATGGGCATATCATGGGTCTGTACTCAGGGATGTCTCTGAATCTTTCCACGTGGGTCAGCTTCACAGAGCATTGTGTTTTACTGCTGTACCGCTGTCCAGGGAAGATAATTTTAAATCCTATGCCTGGAATGCTCCCAATCTTTACCACACACCCTTTTAGGTCCCATTTCTTCCCCCATAGAAGTCATCCAGGGGGTGCAGCACTGCTCAGGCTAATTTGCTTTCAGCATTCTCTCATGTGCTAGAACTTTACAGGCACTGGGCTTGGTCTTCTGGGCCAGACTCTAAGACTGAATGTGTAGTGTCTGCTGTTATGGTCAACCACGACTGCTATAGCTATGGAAGGCTTTATCTCCTTCAGTCCTCAATGTAGCCGAAAAGGCAGAGATGTGACTGTTGCCATTTTACCAGAGGAAACTGATTTCCAGAAGGATTAAGCTGTATCCTGGGTCATACGGTGGTCAGTGGTGGACCTAGGATTCAGGTAGGCCTGCCTGACCCTAGAGCATCCATCTGTTTGTATTTGCCTCACCCCTGGCTACAGGATGGCACTCTGGGCAAGGCTGAACTTAGATAGCAGGTTTGTCGCCTGACTTGCTTCTCACTTTTGGGGTAAATAACAGGGGAACTGTAGCTTTTTCTTTGCCTTTGGCCTTATTTCTTAAAAACTAGGAAGATGTTTCTTCTTCCCGGAATCTTGAGATGCTCTGAGGAGCCTAGTCCTGAAAAATGACCTTCAGTGTTCTCAAGATTTAATTCATAGGGCCAGCAGCTGATGTAACAGTTATGTCACTGGATTCCCACATGGCTGACAGCAGTTCAAGTCCCAGATCCAGTGGCTTGAAACTCATGCCAGGTGCGTGTGTGTCCGTGCCCAAGATCATGGGAGGACAATGAAAAAGGGATTGTGGTATGGTCCTCCCCCAGGGGGTTGATTTATCTCTTTCC